ACTGCAGAGCACACAGTCAATCTGATTTCTGTGTTGACTGTCTGATGATGTCCATGTGTAGAGTCGTCTCTTGGGTTGTTGGAAAAGAGAGTTTGCTATGACCATCGTATTCACTACCAACCTGTGCCCTGCTTCATTTTGTACTCCAAGGCCAAACTTGCCTGTTATTCCGGTTATCTTTTGACTTCCTACTTTAGCATTCCAATCCCCCATGATGATAAGGACATCATTTTTTGGTGTAAATTGTAGAAGGTGTTGTAGACTTTCATAGAACCGGTCAACTTCAGCCTCTTCAGCACCAGTGGTTGGGGCATAGACTTGGAGTATTGTGATGTTGAATGGTTTTTCTTGGATTCGAACTGAGATCATTCTGTCATTTTGGAGATTGTATCCCAGTACTGCTTTTCCTAGTCTTTTATTGACTATGAAGGCTACTCCATTTCTTCTGAGGGATTCTTGCCCACAGTAGTATACCTGATGGTCATTTGAATTAAATTCACCCATTCCTGTCCATTTTAGTTCACTGATTCCTAAGATGTCTATGTTCAGTCTTGTCATCTCTTGTTTGACCACATCCAGTTTGCCTTGATTCATGGATCTTACTCCAGGTTTCATAGAATCATAGAAAAATAGAAATGGAAGGGGCTAAAAGGCCATTGGGTCCAATCTCCTGCTTAGTGCAGGGCTCCAAGTTAAACTGTCCCTCTCAGATGTTTGTCCAGTTGCATCTTGAATGCCTCTAGTGTGAGAGAGCCCACAACCTTCCTAGGTAATTGTTTCCATTATACTGCTGTAACAGCCAGGGAATGTTGACTGATAACTAGCTGAAATCTCACTTTCTGTAACTTAAGCCCATTATTTTATGTCCTGCACTCTGGGATGATTGAGAAGAGATTCTGCCCTTCCTTTTTGTGACAGACTTTCAAGTACTTGTAGAGTGCTATCATATCTCCCCTTAGTCTTCTTTTCTTGTGACTAAACATGCCTAGTTCTTTCAGTCTTTTCTCATCGGGCTTTGTTTCCAGTCCCTGGATTATCCTTGTTTGCCCTCTTCTAAACTTTTTCCAGCTTGTTCACATCTTTCTTGAAGTGTGGTGCCCAGCACTTGAACACAGTACTCCAGATGAGGCCTAACCAGTGCTGAGTAAAGGGGAACTAGTAATTCATGTGATTTGGAAGTGATACATCTATTAATGTAACCTAAAAGAGCATTTATCCTTTTTACAGCCACATCACATTGTTGACTCAGCTTTGTGATCTATAACAGTTCTAAGATCCTTTTCATTTGTAGTATTGTTGAGCCAGGTATTCCCCATCTTCCTTCCACTTCCTATACATGTCCATTTTTTGTTTTCAGATCATTTCCAAGGTTTTTGTGAGGTCACATAGACTTCTTCGGTTGTCTTTTACCCATTTACCTAGTTGGAATTTTTTGTAATGATGGCTTTAGAATTTCCTTTTTTTAAATTCCCACCTATCTTGGACTCCTTTTTTAGTAGAGTCACTTGCTATGATATGTGACTTATCATTGTTCCGAGTTTATTAACATTGGCTTTCCTAAAATCCAGGGTATATATTTGCTTTTGCTTCCTTTAGAATCAGGAGTTCAGGTATGGCATGGCCACTTTCCCCTACAGTTCCTGTTACTGATTTGTCCATTAGGTCTTCTGTGCTGGTTAGTATCAAGTCAAGGATACCCATGTTGCTATTGTTCCTTCCTCCACTTTGTGTTGGTGAAAGTTATCAGCAACACATGTTAGGAATCTCTTGGAGGGGCTATGTTTGGCAGAATTTGTCCCCCAACAGATATCAGTGAAATTGAAGTGCTCCATAACAATGACATTGTGCCTCCATGAAAAACTGCCAGTTTGTTTCACATAAGTTTCATCCTCATCTTCTTCTTGTTGAGCAGTCAGTAATAGACCCCAAACACTGTGTTCCATTTATTCCTTGCTCCATTTATAGCAATGTAGCTGTTGCAGTTCCACCACTCTGTCTAAAGACTCTTCAGCTTCTTTTACCACCTTGAGCATGGACATTTGCTGCCCCTGTGCTCTCAGCTTTTCTTCTAACAGCTTGCACTTGTTGACCATGTTGTCCTTAGGCAAGAAAACAAACTGTGCAAATGTTGCAGGTCACAACCTCTAGGAAGTCTTCTCGATCCATTCTTTCTGCTACATGTTTTATTCTAGCTTCCTGCGTCTGTTGTTATAACCAGTGCTTTCTCCTGTCTTCTCTAAAGACTAACAACACAGTTCTACCAGTAACTGGAAATGCATTACAAGGAAGAAAATAAAGGGGGGAAAGCTGGGGAGAGGGGAGAAAAAGGAAAATGTTAGAGACTTCTCCTGTTGAATTCTGCTGCCAAAGTCCTGTTTGCGCTCCCTATTTGCTCACTCTGGTCACTTGTTTCCTGGGAGCTTGGCTGCCTGTATCCCAGAGATTCCCTAGACCAGATTGGGCAGCTTCCTCTGATCTGAGCTAGAGGTCAGGAACCAGAGTGTATGTAGCAGAATGTATTTAAGAGATACAGCTATTATTAATACAAGTTATTTGTCCTCTTTAAATCCTGAAACATGGGGACCAAGCATTTGTGAGGATCAGCTATCATTCAACACTGAAAACCTAAAATATCAAGAAGAAACCTTAATTCTAATATAATTGTAACTTCTGATACATGGGAGTGACCTTTCTTAAATGATCATTAGTATCCCTCATTCATAAACAACAGCCCCTACAAGTACGTAGAATATGAAAAATGATAGGTCATTTGCCTATAATGAATAGTTCTCTTGGATATTATAATACTCCATTTTAAGACAAACGTGTGTTAAAAATTACATACAATGCCATGCTAATCTTTAATACTTGTTAGACTAGATTTATGCCACACACACACACAAGTAAAAGAAAAGCACATACACAGTTAAGCCCTGTTGATTTCAGTAGGTCTGTTCTAAGAGTAACTAAGTTTTGATCTAACTCATGCTCTGTAGCACAAGATTTGCAGTACAGTGGTACCTTGGCTCACGAACTTAATCCGTTTCAGGACTCTGGTCGTGACCCAAATTGGTTGTGACCCAAGTCAAATTTCCCCATAAGGGTCAATGTAAATAAACTTAATCCGTTCTGCAACTATTTTTTTTTTTTTACTCACAAAAATTTGAAGCAAAGTGACAAAGAACAACAAAGATCGTGACCATCTCCCTCCCCCTCATATTGTGAGTGCGGGGAGGTGGGCGCAGGCGCACTCGAGCAGAGAACACGGGCGCGATCACAGCCATCTCCCTTCCCAGCAAGACCTCGATCGCACCCATGCAGGGAAGGCGGGTGCGCTCACGATCGCCACCCGATGTAGAGTTCATGACCTGCAGCAGCATTTTTATGAAATTTCTGTTCGCGACCCGATTTGGTCATGAACTGAGGCGTTCGTGAGCCGAGGTACCACTGTATTTGGCTTTTGCACAAAAATCATAAATTGTTCCTGTGCATGATTTTACCTTCTGGGGAACTGAAGAACATATATGTGGTGAAGTATCTAGTTAAACTTATTTGGCTTCTCCACCATAGTTCATAGTTAATAGTTCATATTTCTTTTATTTAATTTCATGTGTGTTACCAATTCTATTACCAGTTGGCTCTCCAGGAGAAACTATGTCAGAAACTACTATTGTCATTATGTAGGGTCATTTTCACGAATGTGACATAAATTGCATTAATAGTGGTATTGCATTGATTTTTTTAATCAGTAAAATTTCATTAAATCATATTTGCATTGTGGGTACTAAGTATCTCAATACAGTGGTACCTCAGCTCACGAATGACTCAGTTCATGACCAAATTGGGTTGCAAGCAGAAATTTCATAAAAATTTTATTGCAGGTCACGAACTCTGCATCAGGTGACGATCGCAAGCACGCACGCCTTCCCTGTATGGTTGTTCCCTGCTCGAGTGTGCTCACCCCCGCCTCCCCCACCCCCCCTCACAATCGCTGTGAGGGGGGATGGCCGTGATCTTTGTTGTTCTTTGTCACTTTACTTCAAATTTTTGTGAGTAAAAAAAATAGTTGCAGAATGGATTAGCCTTATTTACATTGACCCTTATGGGGAAATTTGACTTGGGTCACAACCAATTTGGGTCACGACCAGAGTCCTGGAACGGATTAAGTTCATGAGCCAAGGTACCACTGTAATTTGGTTAATATTTTAATAATCTGAATGGTAAAGGTAATCAGCAAAATTGTCGCTTAGCATATTCTGTAAAATGTTCTAAAATAATTAAGTATAAATTATAACATATATAATTTAATGTAAATCATACTTTAGTTCTAAATTAATTTAGTTCAATAGTCACATTTGGAGCATTGTTTAGGAAATATATGAAGACACATCAGTTGGTAATGATTTAAAACTCTTCCTTGGCCTTTTTCTCTCCTTTCTACATTAAATCCACCCTACTTTTGATTTCATTGCAACAAAATATTCATTACTGCACTACACTGCAAGGTGCTTTTGAACCTTTGGGAGTGTTTCAAGAGCAGCTTGCAAAAGCAGCAAAGTTGCTAATCAAAGAAAAGTATAAATATCCTGGGTACTTAACACTCTCCTCCAAACCCTTAGAAATCTGTAATGGAACTTCCTCAAATTGGGTATACCCAGTTAAATTTTTACTTTAGCAGAATGTGGACCATTTGGAAGAAGCAACACACAACTATTCTTTTCCTAGCAGTGTACCCAAAGTAAGCCTACAAGAGTGGTTTCAGTTTTCTTGTCTTCATTCTTCCAAGATGTATTCTCCTTTCAAGGACAGAAGAGAGAAATGTTTCCAGTCCTATTAAACTTTTCTCAAGTACAGCATAGTGCTTGATGGTTAAATAATTATCTGTCTTGTACCTGAGAAAAGCTTTATAATTTTTATTTGCTAATTTTAAAAGTATTACTGATACCTTCTGCGTTTTAATATGTATGTTTCTTTTCTTCCCCTCACCCATTTGGAAAAAGAAATTAACCCTGGTGCATGTGAACAGTAACCAGTGCCTGGATAAAGCATCTGAAGAAGACAGCCAGGTACCCAGTATTAAAGACTGTAGTGGCAGCCGCTCTCAACAGTGGCTTCTTCGTAATGTCACACTTCCAGAAATATTCTGAAAAGTTTCTAACAGGAGGATTCACTGGACTACCTCAGCAAGAACATTTGCTACATTCCTGCGTAGCAGGAAAAGGCTGCAAGATTTCTTGGCCACTGGAGCAGACTTTTCTAAATCTTTGGGAGCTGTAAGCCAGCCACACTGATGTTACGGATATGGAATGAACTATATGAGTACTTGTGAACCCATACGCACTGATGTTTACAAGATATTTCTACAAATAAACTTTTTATAGAACACTTAAACAGTGGAAACCTTATCAAGAAAATATGCTTTCCAGAAAGTGGCACAACCTAGTTTGCTTGTACATCAGCAACCTTAGATGATGGTGGTGTTACAAAGATCCTATGATTTTTTTGCAAGGCTTAACATTAACCATGATAATCAAACATAGGCATAAATGGAGCAGATTGAATAACTCAACAGAAAAATCATTGGAGAAAGATACAGGGTTTAGAGGCAAGAAACCAGAACTATAAAAAGTACAATTTGTAATACTAAATATCAAATTTATATGTAGATTTTTTTTACCTCAGTGAAAAAATAACAAAGTGAGACAAACATGTTCTCTTCATTTGTGTGGTAGTCCATTTATATATATATTCATTCATTCATTCATTCATTCATTCATTCTCCTCAGTGGGCCTGAACATAATTTGGGCAAAATCAAAATTGAACATAAATAAAATTGAATCTTTGAATATCCATTTGAAAAATAATTTTCATTTTGGCTTATGGGCTGTTGGAACTGTTACTACATCTTTTTTAATTTTCTGGAAACTGGAGGGTCAGCATCATACATCCTTTGTGACTAGCCATTTCAGTTGAACTTGAGTCAAGCCAGTTTTTGACATTCCATCACTTGTCTTAAAAATTTGTTAGTGCTTTCTAAATTTGTTAATGACTGATGATGCTTGTCAGGTCTCTTACTACTGTACTACAGATTTTGTTTTCATAGCAATAAATATTTCATTCTTTGATTCCATTCATCAGAGTGTACAGATATGGTAGTTGGCATCTGAATGTTTTTGGGAAACATTTTCCATACCATGTTTGGATATCATTCTTATTTAGATTTTTGAATTGTATTGTTGATCTGCCTTTTAAAAATAAAATCTAAAGAAAAGAGTTAAAGTGCTCTCTTAAATGATATAGCCAAAAGCCTTACAACCTTTAATCACGTTAGTCTAGCACTTTACACTGAATAGCTATACTGAGTTATCTCTGTGAAGAATCAGAGTTTTGGAGAAAAAAATACCTTGCATACAATAAGTGTTCCCTTTTTACAAAAGAAATATGCCCTATGAAACCCAATTGTGTGCATGTAATAAGGGAATGTGCAGCTCTCTCTCATTCCTGTTGGTTACATGCTACTTTGATCTGCCATTCTCTTGTGATTGCAGAGTATTTATAAAGCTCTACTAGAATTTCAGTTTTCCACACAAGATGGCGCAGCTGTCTCACCAAGATGCAATTAGATTCCTTACCATCATATAATCGCTGCATTACATAAATCTTCACTGACCAGACTTTGTATATACTTGCGAATTGTACAGACTGTGGTAATGATTTCTTCAGTTAACTTTTTTGTTAGCAGAAGTCAGAACTAAGGAAACCTTATCACTGTTGCAGGGTTTTTACATGAAGTTTGCCTGAGTGTGCTGTATTTCAAATTTATGCCTTCAGAGCACAGAACACTTTTCTTAATTACAGAGAGATTCTAAAATCTGTATTAAGTGTTTTGTTAAATGTAAAAAGGAAGCAGGATCATAAAGCCAGAAGTTTTAGACAATAGTAATTTGCAGCCTGTTTAGAATGTTCTAGCTGTTATAGTTGCTGTCCTTCTAGCAACCCTGTGAGATACATTTAAGTTGGAAGATTAAGGTTTGCTAAAGGTCTTCCTCTGACCTTCACAGTAAGGTCTCTAATAGCTAAGCCAGCATTTTTGCCACTGCTAAACACTGGCATGTTTACTAATAAACCCCACTAATTTCAGCCAAATCTTACAGTCCTAATGTTGCCAAAAGAAGCAACTGTGACTGAAGGTGGTTACTAGCTGAAGAAGCTGGTGAAACAGGGTAAAACTAAGAAGGGTCCTTCAGAACAAATCAAAGCTTTCCCTGAGATGCTTTGTTTCTGCTTTGTCATTTTTCTCATGTCTCAACTTACAGCCTTTAATTCTTAACTGTATGACATATTTGTGTAGAAACAAATACTACTAGAAAATGAGACTGTACTTACGGCAGACCACAGGCATACCTTTGGGGTAATGGAAAATATCAATCATTCTGCTCTGGTTTTTTTTTAAAATTTTATAGCAAAGTTTTAAACACTTGAAATTGCACTGAAAACAATTGAAACACTGCACTTCTTGTTGTAGCCACATTATTCCTTTAAAGTTTGCTAAGTACAGTTCCCATAATTTAATATGCTTTTTAAAAAAATTCCAGTGTTTCACATGCAAAATTCTGGCAAGCTATAATCAAATAAAATGCAACAATTGTTTATCTTTGAATGCTTTCCATCTTGGAGATGTTAATAAAAACAACTTGGGATCCATCATTAATTTTACTCCGGGAATATGATTGATAGGTTCTGATTTAATTTAACATTATTTTCTATTTAGTTTAAACACACCAACAGCAAAAACACCTTTTACCCTTTCACATTTCCAGCATTTAAAAATAAATTAGCTGGAATGTCATGCTACTGTACTCACATTTTAAAATAGCTTTCACATAATGTGGAAATAGTAATGTATTAAGCTTTGCTCAATGCTCCAATGGCAAAACCATTTTTCCCCTAGGAATTTTGGTTTGTAATGTGACTGACCATCCAGCCTTAATCCTGTCTACATTTCTTAAGACATAATAGGATCTGGTTGGATAGTATCCTCTGAGGATTCAAAATCAGAATGTGTTTTTACCTATTCTAATATGGTTGTTTTATTTCTTCCCATACACAAATGACATATTTGTAATCTTTCAATAAATGAATACATTTTGACTTGAAAAAGAAGGGTTAGAGATTAAACGTAAAGTTTTGGTGCTAGAGTCAGCTTCTTTAGCAAAAGTATCACAACTTTCTTAAAAGCCAAAGGAACCACTTCCTCCCTCATATGAGCATTCACTACCTCAAAATTCCCAGTCCTCAAACCTCATCCTGTAACTTAATACTAAGAGGTTTAGAAAACAAGTTTGACCTCAGTCCTCCAAGGAGCTTGTCCATAGTCTCAGGTTACACAAACTAAAATATACTTGAGAAATATACTGAAATGTTTAACATACTAGAACATGACCCAACAGTGTACTTTTCATGGCTCCACTGTGTGCACCCCTTTGCCACTAAAGAGGAAGCAGTTCACTACCCAGAATAGCTCCATTGGACAACAGTGCATGGATGGGTACAGTGGTGGCAGGAAAGAAATGAAAGTGAAGCATAAGGCCAAAGATTTGTTCATACTTGTGTTCAGTCATAATCTCAGCAAATCTTAAAACATCTTCACTGTGTTACACTCAGTTATTCTTCGTGGTCTCTGTGTGTCACACATACAGGCTCTTCGCACATGCATGGAGCAGTTCGTCGTGGCCGCTGTGCATCACACATATGGGTGCTGCGCCTGCGCAGTGGCCGGAAGATTGCCAGCTAATGGTTTTTGGCAGGAAGCTCCGCTCCCCCTCCTCCTGTGGCCTATAAAGAGCGGAGTGTCTGCCATTTTGTTCAGTCTTTGCAACTGCCGTTCGGTGTGCCTCGTGCCACTTTTGACTTTTGCTCTGACCGTTACTTGTTAGCCTTTTCTTCTCGATTGTTCCAGTTCTATAGTCCCGGTTTTTTCTCCTTATTCCTGTTAGTTAACTATCTCTGCTTCGTATATTTCCTGTAGTTTTTTCTCTATCATTCTACCGTCTTTCGATCTATCTAAAAAAAAAACAAACCAAAAATGTATACTTACCCTCTGCACTATCTCTCTCTTCTTCCTTTTTCTGCGATGGCGCAGCGAGCGGCTTTCCGCAAATGCGTGGAGTGCGGGTCAAAAATGTCACCAACTGACCCGCATGATCTATACCTCCTCTGTTTGGGTGAGGGGCATAGGACCGATAAATGCGCTCACTGCCTGGCCTGCTCCAAGCAGGCCAGGAAGAATCGCGAAAACCGCCTCCGGAGGCTCCTTTGGGATCATAAGTGACCAGACGTAAGTGGTCATGGAATCGCCCATCTTACAGGCAGTCTTACCAGCCAAGACAACAGCCCCAGCACCGTCAGCAGCAACAACAGCAGCGCTGCTGTCCGCAGCCCCAACAACGATACCAACAAGGCCACCACAATTTCAATGACAGGAGGCAGCGTTGACGGGACTGGCAAACCATTGCTCAAATTCCTTTTATACCCATCCCCCTCTCATCTGGGGATCAGCTCCGAAGCCGACTCCCCATTTGGGAGTCCATCACATCTGATCGGTGGGTATTGTCCATCGTTCAGCACGGCTATCGGATAGAATTCGACATCGTTCCTCCATCGAGTCCGATCCGGTTCACATCATGTTCGCCAGTATTGCTTGACAAAATACATCAACTTGAGCGATTCATCAAGTATTCCCATCTGACGGACTTCACGGATTCTATTCCAGTTACTTTACGGTCCCAAAGCGGGATGGTGGTTTACGTCCGATTTTGGACTTGTGTAACCTGAATCGATTTATTGTACCGAAAAAGTTTCAGATGACCTCCCTTCAAAACATCTTGCCATTGCTAAGGAAAGAGGATTGGTTCACCTCACTGGACTTGAAGGACGCCTATTTCCACATTTCGATCCACCTAAGTTATAGGTGTTTCCTTCGTTTTGCTGTTGCACACCATTTCTATGAGTTTACAATTTTGCCTTTTGGACTGGCCATGGCTCCGAGGGTATTTACCAAATGTATGGCCCCTGTCTGTGCTTTCCTACGCCTCCAAGGCATACAGATTTATCCATACCTTGACGACTGGTTGTTAGTGTCCCAGTCTAGGGAGGGACTCCTTGCGTCTATCCATACAACCTGTGCCTTATTGGATGACCTAGGCCTACGCATTAATACCAAGAAATCTCTTCTTCCGACGCAGATGCTTACCTTCATTGGAGCCCGCTTGGATTTGACGTTGGAGAAAGCCTTCCTTCCTCGGGACAGGCAACAGACTCTTGCTCACCACATCCATCGAATGCGACGAGACGGGACGGTCCCGGCGAAGTCCATCCAGAGGATCCTGGGCCATATGGCTTCCTCGGTTGCTGTAGTTCCGCACGCTAGGCTTCGGCTCTGTCTGCTACAACTTCTCTTCAACAAGGTGTACCATCCTCAGAAAGACCCACCGTCGAAGTTGATTCGAATCCCATCTTCCGTACTCCATTCTCTACTTTGGTGGTCGGTACCAGCCAATCTGACTGTTGGAGTGCCCTTCAGAGCACGGCCTCCTTCAATAACCCTCGGTACCGACGCATCTCTTCTGGGATGGGGAGTGATATGTTCCTGCCTATATACCCAAGGCACGTGGAATTGTCGCGAATCCACGAAACATATCAACTTCCTTGAGCTATTGGCAGTAATCAAAGCCCTGCGCTCTTTCGAGGACATTCTTCAACATCAGGTCATTCAGATAACATCGGACAATGTAGCTACCGTCTTCTATCTGAACAAGCAGGGGGGAACGAAGTCACCGACTCTGGCCAGACTTTCCATGAAAATTTGGGACTGGTGCATTCTGAGAGACATCACGCTGATGACTGTTCACCTCGCTGGTGCAGACAATGTGCAGGCAGATCTTCTCAGCAGGCACATGTTCACCTCTCACGAATGGGAGCTAGATCCTCGCACTCGTGACCATCTTTTCCAGCGCTGGGAGTTTCCCGACGTGGACTTATTCGCCACCCAACAGAACATGGTGTGCAATGCTTACTGCTCAACAGTGGGAATTGGACACGCATCCTTAGGGGACGCTTTCATGATCCCATGGAACAACATGATCTTTTATGCCTTCCCCCCATCCCACTTATGATGCAGGTCATAGTGAAAATAGTGCACGACCAAGCATCGGGGATACTAGTTGCCCCTTGATGGCCACGCCAAGCTTGGTTTGCGACACTACTCGACATCC